GCAGCTATCAAAATGAACACTTGATGTCTAGTGCCATTCAAACAACATTGTTTCTGATCATCTTCCAGTAACATATGGAGTGGATAAAGGGTGGAGAGGAAAGCAGAATGCATGTTCTCTTGGCACTGAAAGTGCATTTCTGTTACTCAGCTGTGAGAAGCAAGAAATGCTTTTCCACTCTGCTTTTTTCAAACAGCTTGGTCAGGTCTAGCCAATGATGACCTTGCTGATTCAAAGCCAGCAACAGGGCTTACATCCTGAACTGGATAAGGACTAAAAAGACCAGTAGTGATACAATCGGCTCCTTCCATCACAACAAATGTTTGCAAAGTAGGGTCATATTGCAGAAAAACTAGCCAGAGAGGTCTGGTTTGGCTTTGCTTTGGAAACTAAAGAACCAGATTCAGAGGAAGTTGTAAAACAAAGAATTTTCTTACTGCATTTCAAGTCCTTCCTCACTACATTTCCAGGCTTTAGGGTAAACATGTGGCATTTGGGCAGACCTTTTGTTCCTGGATTCTTGCTGCTAAGAGCAGCAAAACCTCATGGCTGAAAAAATGAGAAGTTTTAATATGGCATTTTGCTAAATTTGCTGTATCTCCATTTGAGCTGGAGTTCATGATGGCTGGTTTTACTGCCTCTGCCAAAAGCACCATTTACAGCCAAGCAACCAAGAAACAGATGGTACAATCAGTGGTTCATGTACTCAGATTGTGATTTCCACTCCTCCACGCTCCTCCTTTCTCCCAAAGGTCCCTTATGTCCTAGTAGTTTTGTATGGCACAGCACAATACAAAGTATCAAGGATGTCTCTCTAGAAAGCAAGTAGAGCAAACAAGCCCACTTCCATATCTTCAATACGATGGAGCACAGGATCAATTCAGAAGATAAATGGCTTTAGCTGTGACCCAAACTACAGTACGTGCACTGCTTAGGGATGGGCAGACCTAGGAATCTTGATCTCATCCTGGTGCTCAGCTTTCCACACCAAGCTCATCCTGTTCTCACCCCATCCAAGTTTTTCTTCCCCCACAGAGAAATTGAAATGTCTTTTAAAGCATATTTTTCAAATATACAGATTTGCTCCTATTCAATGCTCCCATTCATGACAGCAACTGTGTGCAAATTTTAGAAAGGTTGATAATGACTTTTTGGGCACAGGTAATTGAATACTTTTTTCTTGCCTTCATGGAATGCATCAGAAGCTACAAAATGTACAGAATCCCAGTTGCCATTGGTGTCCAGTTTGCATTCAGTTCCAGGTAAATGCATTGATAAAATGACAACAACAACCTTGACAAAGCAATTTGTTCACCCTTTGCTTCCAGACAATATGGAAGCAGAAAAGAAGCTCAGCAAGCAAACTTATAACTGTGCTTGCTTCTACTATTCTGAAATAGCCAAGTGCTTAAGCTGATTGGCCACTGCATGTAAGCTTGGAATATGTACAGGCAGGAAGCAAAAAAGAGAAGCTAACACATTCACTGAACCCTTGGTTGTAATATACCAGAGAACTGAGCACCAGTACATGCCCTCTTCCTGCCTGGCCTGGCCTGGCCATCTCCTCTTTCTTCTCCTGTCCAAGGATCAAACTGCTCTGCAAACAGTTACTCATGGCAAAAGGAGATTGTGCCAGCTCCATCACAGACATGTGACTGTTGAGCACTTCCTTTCCTAGCAATAGATGAGAAAGAAAGGGCACGAAGTTCTCCCATCTCAGAAACTCCCAGGGGGAAGGACTATAGATCAGTGTTAGAGCTTACATTGAATCCTGAAGTCCCTTGCTGAAGGTGGGAGGAGATGAAAAGGACCCCTTAACAAGCAGTCTAAATTAGTCTAAGGCAGTTTCTTATGTGCCAAACAGTGGTGCTGTGTCAAATGGAAAGGAAAATGAACTGGCCACAACTGGAAGATCAGCTATGATTTTGGCTGGGTTGGAGACCTTTTCCTCTTCTTCTACTTCATTACAATTCTATCTTTTGTAATCTTTTCTATCTAGATATTCTACCTGTGCATTGTTATGAAGGAAATGGGGTGTGGCACTATCAAGAGAGACTATCAGGGACACCAACAAGATATATACTACATGTAAGGGCTGGGATGGGGTTGGGTTTGCATCTGCTGGCCTTGCCTTTGACCTCTACACACAAGGTGTGACAAATGCACTACACGTATGATCTCCCACACAGATACATTCACTGTATAAACAGGACTTCCGAACAGGTTGCTCATGTTCCTGGCATCCCAACTTCTGGTAGCACAACAGATCTCCAGATATTTTGGACTTCCAGTTCCCAGAAGCTTCTGTAAGGATGGCCAATGGTCATGAATCCTGGGAGCTGAATTCCAAAAGATCTAGAGATCTACTTTCTGGTTGATGAAAGATAATTTAGGCACTTATGGGAAGGATAAGTATAATGAAACAATAGAGGGAAAACAAAAACAAGATCTCCAAGACCCCCAAAATGAATTTTAATAATAAATGTGTTTAGATGAGTTTCATTACAGGAAACTCATCTAAACTCATCTTCTATCAATATGGAAGATATTGGACATACATTGGATGTTAAAGCAGAATCCAGGGACTGGAGAAAGGAAAAAGGCAACCTATGCAGTGACAAATAATCAAAGAAAGCCTTACATAAATCAAAGAAACCCTTACATAAACCGTAAAAGATCTGATTATTTATTCTGCAAGATTTATTAGCTTTCCATGTTTTATGATGCAGCTCTTATGATATTCATATGTTTCACTGAAATGTCAGGGATCTTCTTTTTCTTTTTTGTAACTAACGAAGGATTAACGGTCACATCAGCGTGGAAACCTTGCATTTGTGACAGCTTCAAAATGATACAGGATGAGACTTATTGCCTGGCAGATCTGAGGTTGTTTTTAGAACACCAAGAAGAGGAATTACTCGATCTGCTTGAGGTGGTTTTTCACACAGCCATTGGAAGAAACTGCCAAAGAGGATAAGCCCAAATGCTGTGCTTTTGCTGGTTCCTATCTGTTATAACTGGGGGGTATCCAATGCTACCACTTGCCAGAGTTGGAACATTTATGAAAAACTAGTGGGATGCCCAAGAAATGTAGGGAATGTGCATCAAAATGTGGCCAGACCTTTCCAGCTTGGTTTACTTCTTTCTATTTCTCCCTGGTTTTCGCCTTCTTTGCACACCATTACTTCTATCCATTGCCTCGTTTGCACCCAGGGATCTATACTCAGTGTAGCCAGTCAAATACTAGCATCCACCAGGGTTGGCACAAAGATGTTGTCCTTTTTAAAGAAAAATGGAGGCTGGTACTGAAAAGAGAAGCACTGACCTGGCTGGCTGCAATAACCCCACCTCTCAAATGCCTCTGGACCCCTCCCCTTGACTACAGTCCAAACCTGCCTGCTTTCCCTCTACCCCTTCAAACCTGCGATCTTTCCCCTCTACCTTCTAGATATATGAGAGCCAACTAGATGTGCCAGAGCAACCAGAGTGTTCTTTTTTGCATTTGCCCCAATGTGGGAACAAGAGGCCACAGTTTACATCAAAAAGGGATGCACAGGGGGAGGCGAGACGAGCCCCACGCTTGTCCACAACTCATCCTGTTGTGTTCCACTTGGCCCAAATTTGAAGGTGGTGAGCATAATCTCATGCTCCCCAGCATCACCCTGGCTGCACCCCTAGCATGCCTGTGTGCCAATCCCCCTGGCCTGCCCCCCTGTCCCATTCTCCACTCCATCAGCTGACCGAGTGGCAGGTGAAGGCACTGGCAGGGAATCCCACTGGGTCTCTTTCCCCCATATTGCCTCTGGAACCCAATGCGGTGTTGCCACATTGGGAGAAGAACCAGGGGTCATTAGGAAGGGAAGGATGATAACCACGACAGCCACCCAGCCTGGTGCTTCTCTTCCCACCTCTGACCTTAACTTTTTCAAAAACAGCAGAAACTTTGCAAATGCTTGAATCCTGGCATCTGTTCACATGTTAGAAGGATCTTAGAATTGCTGCAGATCACAAGCTGAATATGAGTCAATAATGGGATGTGGCTGCAAAAAGGGCAAATGCTACTTTAGGCTGCATTAATAGAAGTATCACTTCCTAATCCCATGAAGTACTAGTTCCCTCTACTCAGCACTGGTTAGGCCTCATCCAGAATACTGTGTTCAGTTCTGGGCACCACAATTTAAGAAAGATGCAGACACACTGGAAAGGGTTCAGAGGAGGGCAACAAGGACAATCCGGGCACTAGAAACAAAGCCCTTTGAGGAGAGGTTGAAAGAACTGGGCATGTTTAGCCTCAAGAAGCAAAGACTGGGGGAGACAGGATAGCGTTTGTCAAGTACTTGAAAGGCTGTCACAAAGAGGAAGGACAGGACATTCAGAAATAAACTTGACAGTCATCTGAGTGGGATGGTGTGATGTGGGGGGGTCTTGCAACAGCAGGGGGTCGGACTTGATAGCCTTCAACCTTCCAACTCTACCATTCTATGATCTCTTCTCAGTCATCCCAGAGTGCAGAACACGGAATGAATGAAGTTTCTCTCCAGCCTGGCCTATGTCCAGAATTTGTACAAGGATAGGAAGATCTGAGGTCCAAGGTGAAGGAGGGGAAGAGAATATAATTTCCTGTGATCCCAAAGCAGTGGCCCTGGCATTTTCCTTCAGCAGGGAAGGTCTCAACTGTGCAACTCCAAGGGGGTTAAGGGCATTTGGGAAGCTCTAATGAAGAACAAAATCTGAACGCAATCTATTTGGCTCACCCTCCTCCTCAACATTCAGATGGAACTGTCTTGGGAAAGTGGCTTGCAAAGGGAAGGCAGCACAACGGAGAGGCTGCCGCAGAGATATGTCAGACTGTTATGCCCCTTCCCGGCTCTTTATGGCACTCCTGGGCATGCAGGTTCATGGCTAGCAAATTGTGGTGTACTGGAGATGGCACTACTCCAGGGAAAAGAAGGGTCATAAAAAAATAAAGAGACATGCATAAAATTTCTGCAGAAACTTACCAAACTATTCCCTGAGCCCCAGAGCCAATTGGTTTTAAGTTCTGGTAGCGCTTGAGAACTGTGAAGGTCGAGTCGCCCACTTCCACACTGTAGAACTGGTTGTCAACTTTGCTTTTACTCATGTTGTAATATTTGGCAATATATGACACATCCACTTGTTTCCCGAATCCCTGTCACAGAGGTAAAGGAGAAAAAGAAAACAGAATGCCAGTAAATTATTGGCATAGTGATGAAAGAAACAGACATCCAGGATCTCTGACCTGACCCATCCTGTCATGTAAGGCCATCCTTCATCATGACCTTCTGATGCTCTTTCTAGAAATGGCTTCAGGTCTGATTTCAGAGAGGGACATGTCCTTCACATCATTCAAACTCCTCCAGGAGGAGGACGAGGAGGTCCAGAGGATCAAGTATTCAACATGGAAACAGAACAAGTTCTGCCCCATATTATGTAGTCAGAATGCATTATGACATTTATGCTCACATTGGCCCATTGTCAATACTATCTTGCTATTTTAAAATATCCCAGGATTTTGCACCTGACTACCACCTTGGTCATTTTAGACCCCATGCGTAATGGTTTTATGTCGCTACCCTTAAACGGCCAAGTGTATTGTATCTAACATTTCTCTTTCTCACCCCCTCCCACCCCATTCTAATCACTGCTCCTTTGTTTAAAACTGTTTCTACATTTCTGTTATCTTAGAATCCCAAATAACTGTTTGCAAACCTGATTTTAAAGTACCCTGAGCACATGCGATCTTGCATTTTAAACCCTGGAAAAATACAGAAATATAATGAAGGAAGTTGGCTCCTGCATCTGCAACACTCTGGGTAGTTATTTGAGGATGTTGGCCCCAAGGCCCAAAATAGCTGCACCTCTGGCTAATGTGTGCATTTTATTCAATAATTAATTTTTGACTCAGCAACCCATATTCTGAACCCAGTTTAAAGGGCTGCTTTTGCCCTTTAAAGCTTTAAATAGTTTGGGACCAAATTTCTTGAAGGACCACCTCCACTCCGATGAGCCCATCTTATTTGTCTGCCTGTGAGAGCAGTCAGATGAGGAATTGCATGTCAGAGGGCCTTTTTTGTAGTGGCCCCAAACCTCCGTAATAAGTTGCCATCAGGTGTCTTCCATGTTACACTCTTTCAGTCTTTTAAGAAGGCCTTGAAAGGATTCTTATCCTCTGGCCTTCTCCTGATATGCTTGCCACTGCTGCTGTTTTCCTTCCAATAATCTTGCATTGGTTTTATATATTTGTTGTTGGGAGCATTTCTGTCCTGATAGGCAGCCAAAAATTTATGTTAAATAAATAAATTAGCAATAAACATTGGTGTTATTAGGGCAACAAACAAACAAGCTAGTACCTAAACTACAATGTGAGTAAAGCAGAAAGAGAAGTGGCAAGAAGACAGCTGATAAAACAAACACAAGAGCAGTTCAAAAGGCCTTGCAAAATAAAATTTTCCAGCACAGATGTTACATTGCTGTGGGTGTCAGGCTGAGATTCATCTTGGGAAAGCAATCTAGGTGGATCTCAGCAATACCAGCAAGGGGCACTACAGTCAAGAAGACCTTCTCCTCAGTGGTCTTTCAAAGACGTGCCCTTCTTTTAATGTAGAACTATCCAATTCGCACATCTTGAATCAATACGCAAACAGAAACGCTGTCTGTTCACATGTACTTTTCCTATGTGTGCAGGGGAGTTCTCTGATAAAAACCATGTATGTTAGACAGAAAGTGGGCACACAAATGCACACAGTCAGAGAAAATCCTGTTTAACAACCCCCATTCTATTGAGGGAATGACGTGCAAATAGTCATTTCTGTTTGTGTACATAGACATATACGGCAGGAGAAATGCACATGAAAATATGCACGGGGGTTTAAAGAGAAATCACATTCATGAGGCAAAGGGATGAAATGAACTTACAGTTGGAAAAACAAGAAACTAGAGAGAAAACGCTGTGGAGATACCCAGAGCAGCCCCTCTAATGAAGACCTCTGTGCTAGGGTGGTGGAAGACAGGGTCTCAAAGGGCCATGGCTACGAACCTCCGTCCAGGGGCCTCAAACCTTTTAGACAGGCTGCTGCAAGGAAGTGCTGTCCATCTCGCCATAACATGCACAACAGCAGCTGGACAACACACGCAACAGCCTGTTGAGTTGATGGACAACAGCGATCAAGTTTCTTCACCTTAAACAGGTGCTGGTCAGGCTCGTCATTCAAACAGAGAGCAACCATCTGGTAGCCATCCAAGCAGAGGACCATGGTCCATAAAAGGAGGTGCAGTTTCCTTCACAAATTCTTTGAAAATGTGGGGGTGGGTCATCTGAATCCCCCGTTTAAAAGTTAGTCATGCTCTCTAAGCCAGCCGTCCCCAACTTGGAGCCCTCCAGGTAGTCTGGACTACAATTCTCAGCATCCCCCTTTGGAATTGCGGCCCAACACATCTATAAGACCCCAGGTTGAAGAAGGTTGCTCCGTAGTTGTTGAAGTTGCAGAAACATTGCTGTTCTATTAAGACATTCAGTGCACTTGTCTGATTCTTCAATCAGAAGAGAATTTTTGGTAGCTGCAAGAGCAAACATGATCACAAACTGATCCTATAAAAAGTCTTCTCCCCTTCTATTGAACCTGTGCAGAGCACTGCAGAGTAGCTGCCCAAAACTCCCAGAGTCCTCTTTGTTTGTTTGCCGCACAGCCTGAGTAAGGATGAGGCAGAGCCTGTCCCTTCCCCTCCCCACCCCCCAAGAATACCCCTAAAACACCAGCCCCAAGGTTGGGTTTTGCAACCTTGCAGGGGCAGCCAAGGTTGTTCCTTCTGTACCAGCTGCAAGAAGAGAGGAAGAACACTCCAGGTTTGGAGTTGCAACCTCAGAGCAAATGTCCAGAGTTGGAGCTGGGACTCCAAGTTTTCCTGTGGCTGTCCAGATAGCACTTTGCAGCTCCCGGATTGCCCCTGGATAAGCATTAAAACTCCCAAATTTTCCCAGGGGCTCTAGAGCGTCAGACTGACTGTACTTCTCCTCCACGCATCACCTTCCCCCCAGTCCTCTTCTCAAGGCTTCAGCCTAGTTTTCTTGAGGACAAGCTGGGGGACAAAACTGAAGGCAGCACATGGGGTCTGCCATCTCTGAACCAAAGGGCCAAGGGCAAGGGGAGAGGCATAGCACTGCCCCTGACCAGACTGAGCACAGCACGTGAATGCATTCCTGGCCAATTGTCAAAACGAGCTTCCTCTGAATTACCTTACAGTTTCAAATGCATTTATTTTTATAAGCATCACAGCAGGAAAATGTGTTTCCTAGCCAGAGAAGCCAGGGGGAGAAAGGGAGGCATCCAAAAATGCCAGAAGGAAGCAGCGAAAGAAAGGAGCAGCCTTGCTGTCTGATTGGACTAGTGCTGCTTAGTGCTCCACAGGCTTTCCTGCATTGTTTCCATGTAAAGCACCTTGAGCACCCTTTGTTCGTATTGCTGGTGCAATTAACAGCAATTGCTGGTTAGCGAGCGGCCCTTCAGTGCACCGAGGCTGTGGCTGCAGGAGCAGAGACTGCAGCTGCCATCTGCTGTTTATCTTTGGGAAGCTTTGATCCTGGTGACTAGAACACCTCTTCAAAAACAGATTTGCCACTGTGACTTCCTAGCAAATGAAATCTGAAGGGACATCAGCGGACTCCACATGAAAGAGGAATCGCGCATACCACTTTGACAGAGTGAATTAAATGATGAGTCTTCTGTCAATATAGCGCAGCCACAGCATCATGGACCTTGCATCACTTCGCCCACTCCAGGGATCAAAGAAAAGCAGTATCCTCATTCATGGCAGGATCAAAGGGAGACAGCATCCCGATTCAAGGTGCAGGGATCACTTTCTGCCCAGCAAAGTCCTCCTCCTGCCTGAACACTCCTTCGGTATCACAGTAGGGCAAGTCACTTCGCTGGTGTAGCAGAAACTTTTGGAAAACACTTGGATGCACAGGAGGGACCTGCTCTGATCTAGCCCAGCACCCTCTTATGTGGAAGAATCAGTCACTTCCTAGTCTTCTCCCTCCAATGCAGAGGAACCCACTCAATGACATACGAGGCAGAACTGATGCAATGCAGAAAATGCTCAAGAAGATGGATTCACTCCAAATATCCCTGCTAAGATAGCCAATATGGTGTATAGGGTGGCATCTTGGACCAGGCCTGGAGACACCCTGGTAGGAACAGTTAAGAGGTGGTGTGGTGCAGTGGTTAGAGCAGTAGAGATGGCACTTATAGTCCCTGCTTGGCCAGGAAGTGCCAGTGCACAATGTCTAATACTTATTTGCACAAGAGAGTTTTAGGACTAACGAATTACAACAAGGGACATGTGAAGAATCCAGTAGGATTCCCCAGTTCAGTGCCCTGGATTCCAGTTCACCAGCTCCGCACTGGCCCCCATATGGTATAGTGTGAGTCAAGCCAGCTTGCTCACTTCTGACTCTAAGATTGGCCACAATTTGCACATTTTTAAAAAAATCATTAAAATTCATAGACTAGTAGAGTTGGAAGGGGCCATGAAGGCCATCGGGTCCAACTCCCTGATGCACAAATAACATTGGCTGATTTGCACAAACTGGCACCTGAAAAGCACACAGTCCTTGAATTATTTGTACAAACCACTGGAAGACCAATGCTTTTGGGTGCCGATTTGTGCAATTCAGCCATCATTATGCAGACTGCACTTATCGGGTGCTGATTTGTTCAAAACTTTCACAACCCCATGAGTTGTGAAAGCTGCATAAATGTGCACAAAATCTTCCCTTTTTTAATGGGCGCACTGTGGCCCATCGTTGAGCAGGAGTCAAAAGGAACAAACACATCTTGGACCACTTCTGGTCATCAGAGCAGAAACACTCAGCAAGTCCATCCAGCTCAAACAAGCCAGACATCCCTACATTGGCACATCACTACTAGCCTGTCGACCTTCTTCCCCACCACATGTCTCTCCCTGCAAACTCCAGTCATTATTCTCTGGCCACTGAACATGCTAGTGGTTTTGTCCCTTGTTAGGGTTTTTCTCCTAAAGAGTTTCCTTTACTTCTCCCTCTTCTTTGCACTTTTACAAATCTTAGGTTTCCTCTGAGCTTGTCGATCCCTCCCTGTAGCACACAGATGATGCCAGCTTGGCTACTTTTGT